CGAAGGCAGTCGCTTAACCAACTGAGCCACCCAGGCGCCCCCATGTTCTGTTTTAAATTGGCTTTTCTTTTCCCTTAATTTTGACAAATTAATGATATTCAGTTTTACACTTTATTTATAAGTAAGCATTAGAAATTGTCATAATTCTTTTGCGCTCTTGTGACTTTTGAGCAAGAATATATATATATATATTTTAAAGATTTTATTTGAGAGAGAGAGAACAAGTGAAGGGGAGAGGGAGAGGGAGAAGCAGACTTCCCACTGAGCAGGGAGCCCCATGTGGGGTTCAATCCTGGGATTCCAGGATCATGACCTGAGCTGAAGGCAGACGCTTAACCGACTGAACCACCCAGGCACCCCTGAGCAAGAATATTCTTGTTCTTTGTGAAACCATAATATCAATTCATCTTTTTTAAAAAGGCGGTTAGAAAAGACAATCTATTGGGTACCTGGGTGGCTCAGTCGTTAAGCGTCTGCCTTCAGCGCAGGTCATGATCCCAGGCCCCACATCGGGCTCCCAGCTCGGCGGGAAGCCTGCTTCTCCCTCTCCCACTCTTCCTGATTGTGTTACTTCTCTCGCTCTGTCTCTCTCTGTCAAATAAAATCTTTAAAAAAAAAAAAAAAGAAAGAAAAGACAGTCTATTGCCATTATTAAATTTTTGAGAAATCTTTTGTGAGAGTCTCAGTTTTTATGGTCTAGGCATTAGTGTAATCTGGCATTATAGTATAAATACACCCATAAGTCATAAAGTAGTGGGACTAAAAGGATCTCATAGAACATCTTGCCTGCTGTTGACTCTGTTCTTTTGGGTCTGATTCCAGTAAGTGACTTAAAAACACTAGCTATAGCTGTACGTGTGTGTATATAGTTGAGTGTAGGCTCTTTGCTTGATGTGAATTTAGATGCACATTCCTCATCACTTGTTTTAGAACCTGAAGCGCTTGTGTGGCTCAGTTGGTTAAGCGACCAACTCTTGATTTTGGCTCAGGTCATGATCTCAGGGTCGTGAGATGGAGCCCTGTGTTGTGCTCCAAGCCGGGCGGGGAGCCTGCTTAAGATCCTTTCCCTCTCCCTCTGTCCCCCCCAACTCACATACACATGCACTCACTCTCTCTCTCTCCCAAATTAAAAAAAAAAACAAAAACAAAAACCTGAGAATCTGACTAAGAGTTAACAATCAGGCATTTAAAAAATATTTCTAGCTTTTATTTTTTATTTCAAAATACATACTGAACGTAGGAAATTTAGAACATACTAATAAAGGGAAGAAGAAGTCACACATTTTACCCTGCTAAAAACTACCACAACATTTTGGTTATAGCCAGCCATCATTTTATATTGATTTATAATCTCCCTTTTCTCTCCACTCAGTATTTTATGAACTTTTTTCTTCATTAAGTAATATTTTTAATAGTTCTGTACATTTTGTCACTTATGGAATACCATAATTTATTTAGCCTACCCATTTTTGGACATTTAGATTATTTCTAGTTTTTCACAATACAAATAAAAATCAGTAATCATTTGGTGGTTGGTTATTTTCACTTATTCTAAGAAGCAGAAAATATTAATTGGGTTCTTATTCTCATAAGGATTACATTTTAGTAGAAATGACAATATATGTATTTATAAAACAGAAAGTGTTAAATTGGATGATATAGACCAGATACCAGCAAACTTTTTCTGTAAAGGGCCAGGTGGTATTTTAGGCTTTGCAAGCCACATGCTCTCTGTTGCAAGTACTCAACCCTGCCATTATAGTGTGAAAGCAGCCGGAGACTGCAAATGAATGACTGTGGGTATGTTGCATTAAAGCTTTATAAAAACAGGTCAGATTTTGCCCTCAGCCTTTAGTTTTCAAACCCCTAGTATAAATTATAAGAGGTAAGAGAAAAAAGGAGATCAAGACTTTCACTGGACTTTGCAGGTAAAGATGTTTTTACACAGGAATAAATGGGGGAGAGCTTTTCAGGCAAGGCCCAAACTAGGAGGGAGTAAAGACTAAGGGGGATGTCCTGGGTATAAGCAAGGGAGAAGGTTGATGGCAAAGTCAAGTAGAGAGGGTAGGACCATATTATTGATGACCTTGAAAATGAAATTGCAGTGTAAGAGGTGGTTGGATTAAGCAGTCGGTAGCCATTTTTAATTATTGAGAGATGTGATATGAAGTTGGTATTTAGAAAAGCTCGCATGGCAGTGATTTATAAGGTATGTTGGAAGAAGGGATGGTTTGCTGTATAAGAGACTAACTTGGTGGTTTCTGATGAGCTAATTTACCCTCCAAAGATGGAAGATTTAAAAGAAAGTTCTAATTAAATTGCAGACTTAGAATTTTCTTATTTCTAGGTGGTGCTGTTAATAAATAGTATGTGGAACTTGGAAATCTTATTCACAGTTTGAAAATGAAAATCAAGTTATTTCTATGATACCTATCCTGGTTTTCTGCAAATCACTGCTTTCAGTTTTCACTGTGAAGCCCTAGGGGTATCTCGGGTATCTTAGGGCTTTTGTGGAAGAGTCTGTGGAGTAATGTTCCAGCAGCCCTCTACCCTCATTTCAGCCATGTTTGAAATATGCAATTTGTGGCTAAAACAAACTATAATGTGGTGGCTTTCAGACTGTTACTCAAAACCTTTATTCAAACAGAATTTTGTGGCAATCCTATGTGTAAAATAGAAAAAATGCCATAGCTCCTCAGACTGGGTTTTTGAATTACCCATCCTGAGGGCATCTGGTGGCATCCCTGGGACAAGGTTCTGAACTTTCTCTGAGCTGTTAATCTGTCAGTAATATTGGTGCTACTGTGCTAACGACTGGGCTAAATACTGGGAGACTAGTGGTGGACAAAACAGAATCCCACTGTCACACCACCTGAGGTCCTGGTAAATCAGTACCATGCAGAAAATACGACAGTACCGTGTTGTGTATGTGTGTACGTGTAGGGAGTGCTGGAGGTGGTTGAGAAGTGGTATTAGAGGCTGCAGTGATGAAGAGGAGGCAGCCATGCTAAGACCCAAGGAAAACTATGGGAGATCAAAGTGCAAAGATCCTGAGACCAAAGTGGTAAATTTCAGAGACAGAAAAGCTCGTGTGGTGGCAGCTGGTGGGAGAGGTGGAGAGTGGAAGATGAGGCTGAGAAGTAGATGGGACCATGTGACCTAAGGAAGTGACATACTGAGAAATGTAAAAACCGTACCCTCCTTTGACACTATTTGAGATTAAAAATAAGTATGACAGGGGCGCCTGGGTGGCTCAGTCGGTTAAGTGGCTGCCTTCGGCTCAGGTCATGATCCCAGGGTCCTGGGATCGAGCCCCGCATCGGGCTCCCTGC